ATAGTAAATGGTATTGGTAAAAGCTGTCTATAGTTGGGCGTTGTTGAACTTGTGGTACTTGCACAACATTTCATGAGAGTACCAAAGTAACCATATAATCACAAAATAACTTTTAATGTAGGTTCAGAGTGAGACAATGTCACTGAGATATGGTTAGTTAGGTATTCAGATGACTATTACTTTAAAAAACTAATCCTGGTTGTATCTCTTTTTCGTTTGCATGTAACACTGTTTGATATTACTAACCGCACCGAGCCTTCATTTCGGGTGATGAGCGAACCTGAAGAAGAAGAAGAAGAAGACGAAGGAGAAGAAAAAGAAGAAGAAGAAGAAGAAGAAGAAGAAGAAGAATACTATATAGGATGAGTGGTACCATGAGCCCCTTCTCGGAACGAGTGTATTGTTGATGGAATTGGTCTACGATTCAAGGTTGGATTCTGTGATAATGAGTATCACAAAAAAAAGGTAAAATTAGTAGCACGATCTTCATCGAAATGTAAGTATTATTGACAATAATCATAACAATCAACTCGTATATACATTGAACTACAGGGACTAAAGGGAAAGGACGGTCCAACAGGGCACCCGATTGAAACGATTTGGACGGGAAGAGTGGGAATGCCAACTCCCCGTTGATAACATTTCGTGGATAAAAGGCAGGCTCTTCTCTCCACTCATTGGGGCATCTTCCTGTTTAGGGGCTTGTCTTTTTGATCAATTGGCTGATCAAGTTGCTGGAAGGAGATTCTTTATTGTTCCGTAGATGCGTACAGGCGATTTTGCCTGTCGATCTACCCAATCCGTTTTTGGCCCTTCATACAGCGACATGTTGAGGACAATCAGATTAAGCTTGATCAAGACAAACAGAGAAGAGAGCCCACTGCTGTCCGACTTAGTTTCCGTACTACAATGGGTGGTAGACCACTAACTAACTAACTAACTGAGATAAATTCATATTCGTAATCTGTATTAAAAATTGAACCGAAACCCAAAATTGCATCAATGATGGTGAGCTGGAACTATTAAAAATTGCGAGCAAATCAGAAAAAATAACCATCTAAGCATCGCTTGGTGGGGCTTTGAATGTGAGCGTACTGTCAACAAATAGATTTAGTGTCAAAAATTAAACATTTATGTCTTAATTGAAAAATCGAGAGAAATGTCTATGGGATGGATAGAAATATCGTTGTGCTCAGAAAACGAAGCTTTTTCTGATGACTTCTAGTAGCATCGCTTGATTATCGTGAGTTTTGTGAAACTAAACATCGTCATCAACGTCACCGTTGGAGCCGGGTTTGAATGTTTGTAGCTTTTATGATGCAATATGAGGGGCTTGGTGGCCTTAGAGCGACCATTTTTGCTTACTGAGTAGAACATCATGCACCACACTGCGCTTTGGTCAGAGGACGTATAGGGCGTCGTTGTGCCAATTTGGTCGTGGCACATTTCGAGCATTAGAGAGGATTGCAGTTAGATCAAAAGTGTCTGAGAAAAATGCAAGTTCTTCCGCAGATTACCCGAAGTTGCGATAGAGAAGATATGATAACAGACTAGCAGACATAACATTCTCAAAATGTTCATCGTATTACCACCACTTGTGGCATGCATAATCAATTCCTTTGCGTTTGACGTTTACAAACTACAGTCATCTGTTGAGTGTAAACAACAGATGGCGGTAGTGTTTACAGTGTGAAACGTTCGATGTGTTGTGTCTGTTGTCTATGTTATAATATTGAGGCTACGTTAGGATAAAATCGAAACATTGAGAAATATCACACATCACTTTCAGAAATACTTCACTTCGCAACCGATGAACCGTTCTGACGGCCATATGAGTACCCAAATAACCATATAGTCTCAATATAGCTTGCATATACTTACTATGCTTGGGTATGGTTGATTGGAGAATTTGATGAAACTGCCACTTCTTGAAACTAATCCCTTTTGTATTTCTTTCATTCTCTTCTCGCACTTTGCATATACTAACATCATCTCATACTAATCTGTACGGACCGCTGTGCCCTGCAACAATGAGTGGTATTATGTACATTTACATACCTACTGAGTAGAACATCATGAGTTTAATCTCAAGCCCCTGCACATTAAAGATTCGTTTATCGCTTTATTTGTTATTGTGAATACATTGGAATAACAGAACATCGATCATTGGTGTGTTGTAATCAAAGGAGCTCGTTTGCCTAGTGGCAAACGTTTTTGCATACTGCTGCAAACCCCATCCTTTTATCCAACAACCCAGTGATTCCTCGTGGAAGTTCAGAGGATTTCTCGGCTTTCAACATAGCGGGTATCACGCCTACACATTCCTACCCTTTCCTTTCATGACCTGCGTTCGGGCGCGGCGTCCCAAGAATCGTCTATTGGTTCTCTGTGTAATTACAGATGATCTGTCAATAACAAAGTGGCATCCGCGGAGAGTCAAGCGGTGCCGTGGTAAACGTGATTACCTCTCACTCCAGCAGGCAAGGGTTCAATCCCAGTCGGCGCCGCCGGGATGTTCTAATGCATAATATCTCTGATCACGAAGGGAAGTAAAGCCGTTGGTCCGCGGTCCATGAGTTGATGAGTTGATAGGTAGGGTCCAGGTGTGGGAGCTGCCTTCCTGGCACGTCGGTAGCATTGGTGCTCAGCACGGAAAACAAGATCGACGAAAAACAAATCAAGGGAAAAAAAATCCGCGGGCAGTCAATCATACTCATGCTCATGCAAACGAAGCTTTTTCTGATGATATATAAAAACCGGTATGTTTTTAGAAATTAAACAACCCAATTAGGAGGATCCTTGGTTACTTGGGAAGTGTATCGAAATTTAGGATGAACACGTTAATGAAACTGATTTTATACATCGTTCCGTAAGAACTCGCGATTTGTTTTCACTAGAGTTTTTAAGGACCCCTCTAGCTAGACAAAAATATCGTTTTTTGAGTATCTCACTTGAAAAACGATTTATAAAAATTCAAATCATTATAGGGGAATTTACGTATTCTCGTCAATCTAAGCAGCATCCGTTCTTCTATTCACATTTTCTCAGCGTCACGCATACAAATGACGTACTTGTTAATTTACATTTATTTGCTTCTTCTCAATCCATTCCAATCGACAGAATTGTTTAAAAATAGTTTGACAGCGTTTTTACAACGCTCCAAATTTCTCAGGTGAGTGTGACTATTGTTGGCAGCCTCTTATTCTTCGGCAACCTTTCCAATTTAAATGCCTGTTAACCAGCATGTTAAACATCATTTCCTTTCACACAGTTCAATTTAGAATGTCCCTAAAATTTATTTGAAAACATCTCTGGGATTCCCTTGAAATATTCTTCTTTCTTCTTAATAACAGTCCACATTCTCTATGTAGATCACTCTCAGATAGCTCACACTCTAAGCAGATCAGTTCGCTCAGAACCACCTATATACTTTTCGATAGACCCTTGAAATTGTACTTAGAATTACCTTGAAAATCTTCTCAGAATTTCATTAAAATTGTACCCTGATAAATCAATTCCCTTTGTATTATTCGCAGAATTCCATTAGAACTCTCTTCAGAATTCTATGGAATTGATTTTTGAAGTACCTTGGGATTTGTACTTGAATTAGTTTGGAAAGATCAAATGCAATACCCTCGAAATATATTTGGAATTGAAAAACTCTCTAAACATTCTTATCAGAACTTGTTTGGATTATTCATTTAAAGTGGAACTGGAATTCATTCCACAATCGTCAAGGGATTTTCCTCAGAACAACTAAAGAATTCTAAACTTTCCTTAGTATACCTGGAGCTCTTTGAACAACTACCTCTAGTCCCAAGAATATCATGTACAATTCACCTCAGAAACAGTCTTAAAAGTCTGCCCAGAATCATAAATATATTCTTCTAGAAATACCCTAGAAAATCTTCTCAGAATTTCATTGAAATTGTACCCTCATAAATCAATTCCCTTGGAACTCTCTTCAAAATTCACTTGAAATTGTTTCTTGAATTACCTCGGTGCTTTGACATAGAATTACGCCTTTCGGAGGGGGTGCAATTTCAAAAAACCAAAATCGACCGCGTTGCGAAAATTGGTCAGGTTTTGACCCCTTATAACTCTGTCAATAGCGGATGAATTTTTATTCTATATAGAAGCCAATCGATTGTTAACCGTTCTACAAATGAAATAAACACTTTTTTTTAATTTTCAATAGGTCACTATTGAAAAATACAAAAAATTCCAACTATTGCAATGGTGATAAAAATCATCATCGAATGCCTGCAAAAACACTTTCCCTAACACAGATTTCAAAATTGAATTCCATACTTATTCATCATCATCATTTTTCTCCAGTACACAAGCAAAGGCTCCCCGCAAGCAGCTAGCTATCAAGGCTGCCCTCAAGAGCCCTACCGAAGAAGGAGGAAGAAGTCAAACCGCTACTGATCGGATTCAGTTGCTCGTCGTGATCCACTGTGGGCCATCTATGCCAAGCACGTCACCCTCGTTCCAAACAGCTATATGTTGCCAGCCTCATCCGTGTTGAACACCCTTATAGCTCAGCATTACTCAACCATTACGACAAAACGGTTCTTTTCAGGATCACCATAAATGATTGTTATTTAAGAGTTAATTTTCATTGAACGTTCGCTAGCCTTGCTTCCAGCATCATCACCCCCAAAGCACTGTACCCAGCAACCCAACGTTTGTGGTCAAATGCGTGACAGTATTGAAGTGGTACATAATAATTCTCGCAATGACCGAATACCACATGACCTTGTCAATTAACCAGTAATACTTCGAACTAAGGTTAGGCTTTCTCCAGGACGCTAGAGAAAAGCAAAAAAAATCTCGAATCGGGAATATTTCGCGATTCGAAAATTTTAACAAGAAATTCCTAGAATAAATTTTCGCTTTTTTATTATCTATAGAATAAACCCAATAGTTTCGAGGAGCGATATTACTTCGTGATGGTCAGTTTGTTGTCGAAGCAGACCCCACTATCATCTACATCGATGTCTGTCGGAAATGGTCAACATGATGACCGATCCGAAGCATCATTCTCGAAGGTGAAACTTCCAGAAATTTCCCTTCCGTCGTTCGGTGGGAGGATTAAGCAGTGGTTTACGTTCCGGGATAGTTTCCGCAGCCTGATCTACGAAAACAAGCACCTAACCGATGTGGACAGGTTCAGCTATCTGAAGTCAGTCCTGCAGGAGACCGAGTCGGTGGAGCTTTCGTCAGTAAATTACAGCGTAGCGTGGAAGGCGCTTGAGTTCCGCTACGAGAACAAGAAGCTGATTGTGAAGGCACACGTGGATTCCTTTTTTGCTGTGGATGGCTTGAAGCGAGAAAGCTACGGCGGGCTGAGCAATCTCATCAGCGCTTCTGAGATGAACCTGCAAATGCTAAAGAAGATCGGCGAAAAAACTACTGCATGGAGTAAGATTCTCGCATACATAGTGTATTCCCGGCTAGATCCTACCACTATACGGCAGTGGGAAACACACCACAACTCAATGGGTGTACCGACGTACGAAAACCTAATCGGTTTCCTTCGAAATCATTGTGCAGTGCCGCAATCCGTCGCCCCAACGAACTCCATCGTAAAGCCGATCCATTCTGATCAACGGTCGATCTGAGTTCTTCAAGCAAGTGCCCAGTCTACTGTGGATCATGGTATTCTGCATTCGTCTGCGGCATATTCCAACGTCTTCAAATTCCCGAGCGCATTGAAGCTGAATTGTTTGAGTCCTGGCCAAATCGCACGAAACTGCGAGAAGGGTGTCTGTCGTCACTGACAACAGAAGCACTACTCCCTGCTGCATGGTGCACCAGCTAGATCCTCCGTTCCACAGTCGCAGTCAAATCCTCCTACACAGACCAGACGACAGCCACAATCCAAGTCAACAAACTCGAACCAACAGACACACAACGCATTGCAAGGACAAAGCACTCAATCAACAGCCACTCCACCATTAGCCACAAACACAGCCACACCCTCGACAAGTCAGACACACATCGCACTCCCAATCATACCTACACGGAACTTCCTGTTATCAACCGCTCTAGTCAACGTTAAGGACCGTTACGGCAATTCCATGCTGGCATGAACGCTGTTGGACTCGTGTTCCCAGCATTTCCTGATGACGAAAGAGTTTTCAAGCAAACTTCAGTTCCACGAATCGCCATCGTATCTGTCTGTCCAAGGGATCGGCTCATCTACGAGCACTTCAACAAAGCTCATCAGTGCTGTAGTAAGGCCGAGGTTGGATCGCATTTCATCGTTCGTGCAAGAGGTGCAGTTCCACGTTCTCCCACGGTTTACTGTGTCGCTACCGACTGCAACCTGCGATATCAGTGGCTGGACGCTTCCGGAATCGTCATCTTTAGCTGATCTATGCTTCTATGGACCGGGTCCTGTAGACGTCATCTTCGGGGCGGAATACTACATGGACCTCCTGATGAGCAAATAGCAAAAGGCGACTGAAGACGGACCCACACTACAGAACACAAATTTCGGCTGGATAGTTTCTGGCAAAGTTCCCGAGCATCCACCCAGTGGATGTCTTTTTTTGACTTTCGTGTGGATCAACTCGCAAGGTTCTGGGACCTAGAGACATTCCGAAACCTTAGTAGGCATTCTTTAGAGGAATCAGCGTGTGAAGAATATTTCGCCCGGACAACGATTAGAGACAAGACCGGCATATTTATTGTGATTCATTTGGAGACCACAGCGATAAAACAGATGATGGGCATCGAACGCCGTTTCGCTGCAAATCCAGAGCTGAAGACGATGTACGACGAATTCATTCGCGAATATCTTGCGCTTGGACACATAAAGGAGGTCACCGAGGAGATGGAAGACGTAGGAGCCAAAAGGTACTATCTACCGCACCACGTTGGTCTTAAGTCTGTAACGGAAGCCTCGCAACCAGCGAGATTTCGACCATTGAATACGCTTCCTGTCTCAAAACGAGTAGCTTAAGCGCCACCTCCAAAGAGGACCACTCGTCACCGTTTGATTTGCCCGGCAAGAAACCCAACCTCATGGCGGGTTTATGTGTAGAAGAGACCGAAAATTAATTTGAGGGCGATTCAGTAGACTGAAATCCCATGAGGGATTGAGATCCTCGCAGATAGAGGCTGCCTCAAATAGTTTTAAGCGAAAGTTGGTGCTAGCCGCCGTTCTACCGAAACACAACAAACCCCACTCACATTTATCATCACTGGAGTAATTTTCCCTTTCAGATTTCCTCCACCGATCGTGACACGTGAGTGCGGAGACTGTTTTCCCAGGCAGTCCAACCTGGAGTAAATTCTACTATCAAAAAATACCACAACAAATAACGCAAAAATAGTACGACGCCAAATGTGAAAAACCTAGTCAACCATAATTAACATTACATGGAAAGCTTAAGCTTTACAAACATTTATTTCAGGGGCAAATAACCGACAACATTGTATAATTTATTAGAGTTCCTAACCTAGGTTTGTACATCGTACTTGTTCCTTTCCATGTGTTTGTTTGTTTACTAGCTCTCCTTAATCGTGTGTGCGGTTTTTGATCTGGTTCTAGCGATTGCTAGTATATCCTTTCACTTGTCTTTAAGCTCATGTGTTAGTGTGTGTGGAGATTTTCATGCATTTTGTTACTCACGGTACCATCGATGTCGTCACTGCTTTATCCGTATCGGCACAGGAGCATCCCTTTGTCGGAGTGAAGTCGGCAAAGAAGCACTCTATTTATCAGTGTTGGTGTTGCGCATTGCACCCCGGACTGGTATGGTGCGGAAATTCCCAATAGAATCCTCGAATTGGTACAAATACTAGCGCCGATTGCCAGTGGCGCAGATGTCGACGAGGGGATCGTCGGTTATGTACGGAAGCACGTTAGTTCACGTGGTGTTTGCTGGCGGATTTGGCCAACGCGCTGTCGGAGAATAGGTTAACGGTGTCTCCCTTTCGGATTCTTCCCAAACCGGGAACCTTGACGCTAGTGGGGTCTAGAGAGCGCGAAATTTTATCATGGCGGTGAGCCAAGCAAAGCCATATATCGCTAGAAGCGATGCGGTGCAATCTCCAATCTGCACAAAACGATCCTACACAAAAAGCCGTCGAACGGCTCCACGCAAAAGACATTATTCACTTTACCTTTCTATATACTTTGCACACACAAAAAGTAGACCGCAAGTAACTTCTAACCTAATGGTTGAACTCTACAGACTAACGGAAAGGAACGAGAAAAGTAACTTTAAATTCAGTCTTTTAGACTTCTCACATTTTTAACTTCACATACCACGAAAAACACACCGCGACACTAAGTACACTTAGGTACTAACTAATCGCACTCCCGCTTCTTCCATGGTTCAAGTCAAAGTGAACGAGTAGAAGTTCCAGAAACCCTCAGATAGGTGTGGATTGAACGGTCACCGTGGCCGAAAGTACTTCAAATTACCGAAGTAATTCAACGATCTTTCAAACTTAATCTTAAAATCATTCAATGCTACATCTCTTTCCTTATCATGCAATTTCAATATACTGTCTTGCTCCAATCTATTTTCGGTTACTCTTTTATAAGAGACCACGGTTCGGATTCGTACCCCGGACTTTTACGAACAGGTAGCGTATTCGGGTAAAATGAAATTAATTGGCTGAACGTATTGGGAACTCATTGCTTGTTTTATGACAAGTGTACCTCTACATGAGAGGACATTCCTTGGCGGGGAACACACTTACGATTTAATTGTAAAAAACGGAACTTCATGCAATTTGATTAAATGAGTAAATTGCATAAATATGAATTCTGTATAAATAAAGAACTAACAAAATAAATAATTAAATAAATGAAAAATCGTACTTGTTACAAGTCAGACCGACTACGAAGCTGCGCTTAGTTTTCGACACCTCCTGTCAAACGTCTACCGGAGTTTTGCTGAATGACACCTTCATGGATGGCCAGTAGTACATGATGATCTGCCTAGTATCTCGCTACGTTTCCGCATGTACCGAATCGAAGTCAACGCTCATGTCGCCAAGATGTATCGCATAGTTAAAGTTCAACGCCCCTTTTGACCCATGCCGCACGTACGAATTGACCACTGTCATGTACGGTACTTCATTCGCACCATATCTTGCTACCAAATGCCTGCAGCTTTTAGCAGATGACGGAGCGCTAACGTATCCTGTAGCGTCCAAGGTGGTCAAGAAGGACTTCTACGTTGACGACATGCTCTCAGGAGTAGACAAGAAGTCATCGAGCTAATGGATTCAGCGGGTTTCACGCTTCAAAAATGGAACTCAAACAACAAGGAGCTTCTCGAATTCGTTCCGGAAAACTTGAGGGATGAACGCTCAATACTGGATATCGATTCGTCTTAAACTTCCATCAAGACATTGGGTTTAGTGTGGGAACCTAGTTCAGACGTTCTCCGTTTCACGTTCCCATCGTTCAACTGGTCGGCAACGATCACGAAACGCTTGGTCGTCTCTGATGTTTTGCGGTTGTTTGACCCACTTGGTCTGGTTGGCCCAGTTATCATCCAGGCAAAAATCTTTATCCAGGAACTGTGGAAGCAAAACTGTGGCATCGATATTTCTTGTATTTTCGCTCATACAGAAATGTCAGAACAGGATTTGAAATGTCTGCAAATCTGGCATCCTTGCTGGTAGAGAAGAAGCAATCATAATCGTCGGTCAGACCATCAAGCAGCCGAAAACATTCGGTGCAGGGTTTATTAATGCCGTTAATGAAGTTTTTGCTAGCTTAGAGCTTTCATCCCGGGATTTGGACATTTGCCCAAATTCCCGAATCCCGGGGATCACATTTATAAATCCCGGGATGCTATCCAACCCAGGATTATGAAAACTTAAAACTAATCAATCTACTGAGTTACCGAAATGACATGATATTCAATTAATTAAAATAATGCTTTCCAAAAAAACTAGATTCAGAAATGCAATAATGACTACATTTTCGATGGACAAACTCAGCACGTAAAACCATCCTTGTTGTTCTTTCGTGTTCAATAAAGAAACACCAACAACACCAACGTTTGCAAGGAAATGTCTTCATTGAGGCTTTTAACAAGCCCAACCGCGTGCAGTTTTGCAAGAAAACTTCAATTAAGCCATAAATCATTTGCACTGCTTGCTTTTGTTTTCTGCCCCCTTTAGGCCTGTTAAGGATCCATTTTTATTTTTTGTAATCCAAAGAACAAAAACGCCTTTGCCGACTTTCTGCACAGGAGGGCTCAATGTGCATCAGCAACGAATTCCGAACCCGACGGGATCGGGGCAATTAGCTGACAGATGCTGACGGCGGTCCGTCTCGTTAGATTCTAAGCAAAAAAATGTTGAGTGAAAAAAAAAGTGAATCCCTCTCCAGAGGAGACAACTTTTCAATTTCCTATAAATTATCATTAAAAGCACCAGCTGAAGGCGATCTTCTCGGGATCAGTGGTGGCGGGATCGGGTGAAGGTGAACCACTCGGAGGGAAAAAAAAAAGAATCCCGTCGTCGACGTCGTCGTCATATTCGTCGTTGGAAATAAGAAACTCCGCGTCTGGATTCGGGTCGAAAAGAGTTATGAATTTATTTATGACACTCATAGAGAGCCAACAAGCGGTTTCACCTTGCATCG